AATGTCGTTAGTCATTCCTTCTGCTAACCTTGAACGTGATTGGTTGTTTTTGTGTGACTTCTCACTTTCTAGTTCACTTGTTTTGGTGTTGACTGTTTCCTTGACCTGAAGTTTGACTTTGTTTTTGTGTGAATTTCTTCGTACGGATTGGTATATTTTGTCAATCTCTATGTGTCTATTGATTGCTGATTCATTTGAATACCAGGCCTCTAGGAATTCTCTGGCATTTTTGCAGTTCCCTTTGTCTAAGATTTGCACATTGTCCCATCGAATTGGTGCCCGTGGTTGTCTGCATGTAGTGATATGAGGGAGTGTATGTCGTGTCTTTTGACAGCTAGTTTGTGTTCGTGAATGCGAAGACGAAGAGGGCGTCCACTTTGACCAATGTAATGTTTGTCGCAGTCGTTGCAATTTATCTTGTAGATGACGTTAGTTTTGTCTTCTTTTGCCGTTGAGTCCTTTGGCTTACATAGAACTGAGTGTAGTGACTTTGTTGGTTTATGAGCGACATCAATTCCAAAAGGTTTGAATAGTTTGCATTCAGACATTGCAGCACTCCCGCCTTGAGGAAAATTGAAGAAAATCATCTTATGGACGTCTTCCAAAGAAATGGATACCCACGAAACTTCATCAAAAGACATCTACCCCCAGCTCAACCAACCAAATCAAAGGCCACCAGCGAAAACACAAAGAAAGTCGTCCTACCATATATAAAAGATATCTCCGAAATCACTGCAAGACTATTCAAACCTTTTGGAATTGATGTCGCTCATAAACCAACAAAGTCACTACACTCAGTTCTATGTAAGCCAAAGGACTCAACGGCAAAAGAAGACAAAACTAACGTCATCTACAAGATAAATTGCAACGACTGCGACAAACATTACATTGGTCAAAGTGGACGCCCTCTTCGTCTTCGCATTCACGAACACAAACTAGCTGTCAAAAGACACGACATACACTCCCTCATATCACTACATGCAGACAACCACGGGCACCAATTCGATTGGGACAATGTGCAAATCTTAGACAAAGGGAACTGCAAAAATGCCAGAGAATTCCTAGAGGCCTGGTATTCAAATGAATCAGCAATCAATAGACACATAGAGATTGACAAAATATACCAATCCGTACGAAGAAATTCACACAAAAACAAAGTCAAACTTCAGGTCAAGGAAACAGTCAACACCAAAACAAGTGAACTAGAAAGTGAGAAGTCACACAAAAACAACCAATCACGTTCAAGGTTAGCAGAAGGAATGACTAACGACATTCAGACCAAAGAAGAAGCCAGCATCGAGACAAGCAAACTAGGGGATGAAATGTCACACGAAAACAACCAATCACGTTCAAGGTTACCAGAAGAGATGACTAATAAACTCATAGAGAATTCTAAAAGCTCACTTCACATCGAAGTATGCGCTGAAGATGTTGCTCAGTAGAGCAATGAAAGCTTCGCAACCAAACCATCCAGCTCAGAGAACACAACCACAACAAAATCATCCACCTGAGCTACAATCTTCTCTATTATATCTAGATAGTTTTGTAATGGACCAACCAGTATTGCTATCACTGACCAATTAGTGCATCCACTCATTGGAAACAACTCCAACTGCGTGATGCTATGATCGTTTGAGATACGTAGGTAACACCTTTGGAAATCATTAAATGTAGAGTCCCACCTGAAAATCTTCGCCTGATAAAAAACATACCCAATGGTGTTAGGCTTTGCAAATATGTTGAAGACTATTCGAATAATTTGATGTTTATTAACTGGTTTGTCGGACGACAACCAGATGATAGACGAAAACCAAATATCACCAGAAAGCTTCGCATTAGGACAGATGGCCTTATTATCATTGTCATTATTATACGGTGAATCTCTTTGTCACCAAAGTGACTGAAGTTAAGACCCGAATTAACTTGGCTGAACATCTATTACCCGGAGTCGAAGTGGGCCACAGAAGGTTGAAATTGGTTGTAAACTGACTTAGGTTGATCCACTGTCCAGTCGTAAGTAGTCCGACGAATGCGGAAAGTGTAAGCTAACAACTCAGGCCTCCTCCATGGTTGTTTATATATAAACTTGGTCCTGTGTGACTAGCTCTACTGACCGTCAAATAAAATACGAAACTTCCCAGTGCATGTCTGAACATAATCAGACGTGGTTATCAAGATGATACAACGATTCACTAAGATCAAAGCAAATGATTAAATTTGTAGACACTGAGAAGACATTTATTGAGTACACAATATCTGGACACCGTTTCACAGAACATTAGTAACACAGAAGACTTCAGTAGTCATGGACATCACAATAATCAATATCATGTGTCAAGAATTCAACTAAATTTTCATCATGAATATCATTCATATGGTGACATGATGCAAACCATTTGTCAAGATTTTATTCGATAATTTCGCTAAAACTTCTGATCAGCTGATATCTCAAAGTACGAAAAAGTCATATTTGTAGAAATAATAATGGACAAATAATTCCAATATCTCTGACGACAGATTGGAAATAGTGGAAGATAAATCGTCTAAACTACAAATTAATGGGTGCATCTGGACCCTAATATCGCTGACATAATCAGTACAAGCAGTTCAGTGGAGAGTCTCTTCTCGATGAATTGACTTTCTTAAGCTGCACAATAGAATTTAGCAAGGTTCTGAACAGTGACAAAGGGAAGAATCACAACACACATCCACAGTTTCTATTATTATTCAATGCAAATGAGAAGTCGAATATAGGAGATAGAATTACGCAAAAGTGATAAGTCTGTATTTCAGACAGTATGCGAAAACAGAGTGCAGAAGTTTTCCACGTTCCAAAATATTTCATCTTCCTACAGGATTTACATGTTTAGTGATAATCCGAAGTATGTCGTGTGACATAGCGTTGTTTCATATGAAGAGAGAACCAACTATGTACAGTTTTATTCTTTCATTTTCTCGAAGAACTGAGCAGCCTTCCGTTGAAAACTAATTCAATATGTGGGCGAGTACAAGTAGTGATCATTTGATACAACTGCATGGTCATAGCAATCAGAAATGCTGTAGAAGTTTGGCATTTCAGTGGATGGAAACTCTGGTAGACCATCGATTTCAGCAGGTCACCTTTATGAAAAGGTGGGATATATGATTTAACAGGTGTATTTTAATCAGGATGCATACAGAAAAGCAAAGAGGATTTCATGTTACCTAGCAGTTCTGGAGGAGAAGTGAGTCAGAAACGGTCAAGTGAGTGAAGTAATCAAACATATTTAACTGAAAACAATAGGATTCGCGTTGAACGATGCATATATCTGGCTCCACAAGAACAGGTGAACTGAAGTATGCAAGTAGAAGTGGTCAGATGTGAGATCTCGTCCATTAGGCTCCTCCACACCAGTAGCTAACTGATGAACACCACTCTTAGCGTTTCTGTGAAGAAAGTTCTCCTTGCTGAAACTGCAATTCCTCACCTAAGAACATCATCAACTAGGCTACAGTGAAAGTCAAAGTTCATCTAAGCTTTCATATTTTGCACGGATCACGTGTTCAGCTTTCGATTTCTTGGCTTGACCTCCTCCACATTAGGCCTCGGTGAATGTCTCTTTTACAAGATTTATTTCTGAAAGCTCTAATTCTTCTTCCAGAGCAGTTTAGCTACAGATGCATAGGACGCGAGTGGGTAGAGAAATATTTTGGCTCAATTCACGTTCATTTGGTATTCAGCTGTAGAAACTTATCAGTTGAATGCTCAATGTGGTTCTCTTATTGATCTATCTTCCTTAAGACTCGTGGGTTCTTCGTGTAAATTCAACCTCATGAAAAGGCATTGAAGATTCATCTTCTACTGAAACAGTGAGACCTGTCGGTGGATTACAGCTGTTGAACATGTGTAACACTACTAATTGTGATCACGACTATCATCAGGGTTAATAAAAATATCATCCACTTATCTAGGACACAATTGAAACCTATCAATATTTAACTTACGTGGACCATTCCTGTGACTTGTCATGAAACAGGCTGCTAGCAACGAACCCAAGTGAGATCTCATTGAAATCCAATAATTTTGTCTGTAGAAGATGTCGTTGTTCGTGAATGGAACATAGTATTTCCTTTGTTTCCATGTGCATGCATATCAAAATTTACATAGTAACTTTTCTCATCTCATTAGGTGTTTCTGTGGACCTTATTCAACTTCTTATATGCACTCATTAATATAACCAACCATCTTGTGACGATCCTTCCATTTTTACCGTTTTAATCGTTGCATCTAGGATTCCTACCGATGGATCCTTCTTAATGCGACTATTCAAGTAAAAAAAGCGAACTATTTGAAAAAAGACTCTTCTCTGAACTGCTTGTATTTATGTTGTCAACGATGTGACGACTCAAATGCACCCTATTATTTATACCTTAGACGATTTACCTTCCATCATTACCAATATCTCGAGCGAGAGGTTTGAATTATGTATCAATAATCATTTTTACAAATATGACTTTTCAGTACTTTGAGATATCAGCTGATCAGAAGTTTTAGCGAAATTATCGAATAAAATCTTGACAAATGGTTTGCATCATGTCACCATATGAATAATATTCATGACGAAACTTTAGTTGGATTCTTAACATATGGTATTGATTATTGTGATGTCCACTATTGCTGGAGACTTCTGTGTTACAGATTTTCTGCGATCGTGATTCTACAAATACTCTACTCTGGAAAATTCATTCCAGTGATTATTGTATGAACCAACTGTTTTGATATTCTTGGAGCAAAATGTGAATTCACTAATATGAATAGAGATGAACAGCAGACTTTCCCAAAACTAAAGGCCCTTATATAAATTAAGACTGTCAATTCTTGACAATTCAGTAAATGCTAATTTAGTAATCGAGTGTGCTGTGAAGTGGATTACTGCTCTGTATCACAAATGAATTCCACTTGTCAAGGTGTGATGAATTCAATCGAAAATTCGATAAATAATGTTGAGCAGAGAACTTACATAATAATAAACTTTACCCAAGAATTCATTGCGAAGAATTTCCAAATCACGTCCCTACAACCAGGATAAAATTTCATTGGAAAATTTTTTCTGTTCTTACACGAAAGTGAATAAGAGAACAACACCAGCTGTCACCATTATCATAAGAACTGTATCTATTAGGATCTAAGAATAAAATTACTCACTCATCAATCCATTTGCATCTTACCCAAATGTAGAAACGTGAAGGGGTTCGCTGTAACCTCTCGGTGGTATACTCGGAATTCCCATACGATGCATAAAACCGTGACATTTTCCAGTGAGCTGCAAATTTACGAAGAAAATGATAGAAAACAACTACGCAGAAGTAACTTGATCACCTCAGAATATACATGATGAAAATGGACACATAGATTAGAGTTACTGTATACGCCAACCGAAAATATGATGTGGATATGACTGTCAGATTATTTGAACATAATTCAGGTTCCGTAACACTTGAGAAATACACCTGTTTGCGAATGGAAGAGTGTGCTCTACGAAATTGAGTGGGTTGGAGAAAATCTCATTTGTCTTTCTCACACACGATATCAACTTTGAGGAAACAGCCTACTGGAGTTTCTCTTCTGCATCATCAGAGAAAAACTGGTTTCATTTGGGCATATGTACAGAGTCAGTGTATGCATACAAGTATCCGACGATGACACCTTGCTACAAGACTGAGGATGATAAATGCGAACATCAGTTCGCTCTATCACACGTCACAGATTTCTGAGAATAAAAGATATCTAATCATCACACGCTAACATACCACATTGATTTGATCCATAAAACCCAATTAAATGTGATTGAGCGTTATTCATTTATTAATACTCAAATGAAATATCTCAAACATGATCAAAGTCAGACTAAAATCGTAATCTTGCTATTCATATTTGAGCAAACTTAGTATTAAATCAAATCGGTAGCGAATGAGAGATTATATGCAGCTGAAATTCACTTACTTGTTGTACCTCCGAGCTTCGAATTTACGTCCGTTCGAGAATATTCTCACGTATTTTCTCATTTATATATATGTATATATTCCGACTTCTTTGATGATTATTGACGCATTTTTACATATTGAAGGATCATAGTCCATTCTCACTCTAAATGTGATTCCACTTCACACAAAATGACTTTTTTCACATAATCGTCTTATTATGCATGTTGTTCTCATGTGGTTGTTTGTATGCAAGTGTGTAAGTAACACATTGCAACAGTAAGCACATTTAGTTATCTAAGAATTCAGTCAGTAGGCATATACTAATTACTTCATTTGAGAAGGCTATTGACTGAAGAACGACGCTTGTTTTGAATGGAAGAAGCAATTCGTGTCGAAATAATGGATTTGATTCCTGGTTCATTTAGAGGGTTCTCCACGTAATTGTGTTCTTTGAGTTAGGTCAATTAATTGTGAAGCCGTTATCAATTTTACAGAAAACATTGTCTGAGTTGGATTCAGAAGGTGTCTAATTTTGTCTGGCTTTATTGATTAAAATGAATAATAGGGTGAGAACAACCATAGTTATACTCGAATTTCTCAAACACTCAAATGGCTCACATCGATTTGTAGTAATTTTTCATTCCGAACACGTAGTTTGTATTAACAGTTTATCTGGTTTATTGAATGATCCCAACAAAACTATGAAAACAACTTTGAATCGAATTCCCCTGTCTCACGAGCTCGTCATAATTTGAGTACAGATACCGTTTGTGTGATTTCATTTACAGAAGTAGGACAATTGCACGTTTATGGGTGAATCGGAATAGCCACCACTAACATTATTTGGTTGGAAGGAGTGACCAAGAGACACATAGAGAGAGTGTGTGTGAAGAGGTTAATATTTCTTGACTTGAATTTTAAGATCCCTCTTCACAAGGATTTCTAAACCACTCCTGTTCCAACTCGTCTTTGATGAAATGTAGGTCACATATTTCTCAGCTACTTCCCTAGTCTTTCATTTTTCCGGTGCGACGCAATTTTTCAGCTGGAAATCCAAAATAAACTTAGAACAAGTTGGATTTCAAGTCCAAAGTCACCATCGTCTAGCTTTCAAGAAAGTGACAGGCGAAAAATAGCTTTGATAAACGCATGTATATCGACCTAATTGTGTCTGTATAAGACGTAAACTTGGAATCCTGGATGGGGTGTTCTTATCAGACTAACCAGACAATTAATGGGTGGCAGTATTTTTCAAGCTGATTGTGAAAAGTGAATAGTTTCTGAAACGTTGTGCAGAGAATTAAAGTGTTTTGGTAATTCATAAACTAGATTTCACCTTATTAGTCACATTCTCCATACACTTAACCGTTTCTGTCGCCAACAACTGCGGTAATCTACATACAGCACTGTGCAGTTTGAATTCAATTGTACCAGATCCGTTCTCGCGATATCATGTGGAAGTAAATGTAAGGGTCAAATTGAAAGTACATGATTCATGTGTGAAAGGATATTGATGAACACTGAGGTTATTTCTTAAGATATTGGTGGGTTGCAAAGATCGTGTAGGATGGTGATCAGCCTAATACCATCAGAAGAAGAAAGAAGAAGAAGGAAGGATTGGTCATTCTCACGTGATACACCCATGTTAACAATATTGACATATCCATTGTCGGGAACTCAATCCTCACTCCCGACTGGATGGACATCATCGAACTATCTGCCTGCACATTGTAATACCGACAACATGATTTTCGTTACTGACAAACTGAATGGATGAATAACTTTCGAGTCTTAGCACAATTAGCTGCTGATTTCATGTCATCATCAATTTCCTCAGTTGTCACGCAAGTAGTCGTTTTCATTTTATGCTCAAGAGCTTCGTGTAGTGTAGTATGTTGACGCTGAGACACCAGTTGAGTAGTCCGACTGTGGCCAGATCTTCTATTGAGACATTTTCATAGCCCTCCAATAAGCTCCTGTATGCAGCTTTCCGATATGACAGACACATCGGATTAACGATATTCAGATTCCTTGAATAAAATACTTCATGTTTAAGGATTGGGTATTCAAGATTTCGGATGGACGATTTCAGCATGAGCCGACATCAGTTAGAAAACCACTGCAAAACCTGGAAGTAGTGGGGATCTGTTTCCTCCTAGTGTGGGGCTATTCATCAGTACGCATCCACTGAGGTTCGTACTCAGGACCCTCTGGTTACAGGGCAAGCTAGCTCGTAGACCATTGAGCCACTTGGACCCGATCCAATGGCCCATGAATTGAAGATTTCAGTGAGATGTGTATATTCGAACAAGGACACATTGACTAATATTAAGATTCCTGACAAGTTATTCATTTTTCCGGACGCGTCACAACAAATACGAAACCAATGAATATCTGTTTATTTGGATAAACTAAAGGTTCTACGCTTTTCTAAGTGGAAGATGTCACCTTCATAATGTTAATCTATAAAACTCCCAACCTATACCATACAACCTAAGCGTGAACATCTCACTTGGAAAATATCTTCCATATGGAATCGGAGGTATGTTAAGACGTTGGCAATGAAATTATATCAAGAATGGAAACTTAACGTCGATTTCTTTCTCGATATCACAGCTACAGCTGAATGCATGTTATTATATAACTCTTTCTAATGCTAACAACTTTGGTACTACCTACCAGAATCATAAAAGTACTATTCGTTTACCCATAAGAAAACTCCATTTCCAATCCCAGACCTACTGAATGAGTTCAAAATGATCTTTTACACAATGCTCAACCAGTTTATTGTGCTACTGTGTTAGAACGTTTAACAACTACTTGACAACTCAGAAGACTGAAAGCGTTGCTATGTGCAGTGGTCAGGATTTCACTTGAATTCGCCTTATTGCTGATATACTTGTAGTCAGTGACCGTAGAGTTCAAAGATTAAGCTGATTATCTTCTAAGTATAACAATGTGAGAATATTCAGCTGTTCAAGTGATTGTGATCAGCCAGTCAATATATGACTGACTGGACATCACAACTATCCAGGAATCATTAACTATTTATCTGTCCCAGTCATTTCTCTTGTTTTATAGGTATGAGCTACAAACTTCATTTATCTGGGAATTGCTCAGAAGTATCTCTGATTTGAATAATGTTTCACTTCAGGTCGGTTGCGTTCTATGAGCGGGATATTGTAGTGATGGAGCTCCCGTTGTCATTCTAGACATCTTTAGTGCACACTTCAATAATTATTCTCCATCAGCTTACTGTTATTATCTATTATTATTACTTCCTTGTGTTCCGAGTGGAAAACAGGTCTTCAATAGCATATCTCCACTTTCTTCCGTTTTCTGCCATCATCTTCAGCTGGGTCCACCATTGTCCATAATCTCTCATCTCCTCCTATCACGATCCCCTCCATTCCTCCCTCGCACTGACCACACACTAGTCGCTTCCCGTTGTGACTCCACTCGAACAATGGCCTGCATTGCACACGATGTCATTCGACGGCCTTCTCAAGGAATGCCCCATCCATCTCCATTTTCCTCTTAATAATTTTTGAGAAACCGGCTCTTGGTTGGTTTGTCGCCCAAAAATTCTCTTTGCTGATTCTTTCTGGCCATTTGATCCTCAGTGTGGAAGCAGTGAATAGGGCAGCTGTTGCTAAAAGTCTGCACTGATGTGTTGAAAATCCTTTTCGTCACGTGAAGTGTAAGTTTCTGATACATATAGAACAACTAAATAATTTCACATTTGTGTTGAAAACCTGAATGTTGTTGTTTATGTTGGCTGAGTGCAGACGATTTCCAAACTGGTTTCAGGTTGATGAAGGCGTATCTTGCCTTTCCGATTCTGACTTTGACGTCTTCATCCCTGCCGACTGACTTCAGTTGAAATGATGATGTCCAGCTAGGCAAGTGAAAGAAGTAACCTCTTTCAAATTTACCTCTTTGATGGTGATCACTACTGGTTTCTGTTGTTGTTGGTGGTTGGTTAGACTCATCACTTCCGTCTTCTCTATGTTCGCCTGCATTCCTGTCTTCGCTGCACTGCTTCTTCAACCAGTTTGTTGCTTTTCGCCTGTATGTCTTCTAGTTTTTGTGACATTAGACATAAATAATCATCTTACTCTTGTATTCACTTTGAGTCCAACGGTGAGTCTTCCATTGTGGATCATCTGACACGTGGCATTGTCATCGGTTCAATTTACTC